CCAACATTTTGGTCAGCAGCCAAGAGCTTAACTGTTGCACTATCAGGGCTCCTTTTACAAAATATAATGGGTAAGAATTTCCCAGAATTGCTGAAAAAAATAACTCTGAGATTGAAATGCAAGATAAAGTCCAAAGGATATACAGAACTAAATCTACAAAACAAGATCCACTAAATACAACTGTGAAAGGTCATGGACAATAAGAAAACCTTAATAAGTACCTAACCCACTAGTGTCAATTTTGATTCGGTCTGACTTATAACAACCCCGTAGGGTTTCCAAGGCTGTAAATCTCTACAGAAGCAGACTGTCACATCCTTCTCCTGCAGAGTCACTGGTGGTTTCAAAACGTCGACCTTTCGGTTAGCAGTCGATCACCTTAACCACTGCACCAGCAGTGCTCCCGCAGTGGTTAAGAGCTTGGCTGCAAACCAAACGTCAGCCTTTCGAACTCACCAGCCGCTCCTTGGAAGCTCTATGGGGCAGTTCTACTCTGTCCTATAGGGTCACTATGAGTCGGAATCGACTCAATGGCAATGGGTTTGTTTGATTTTTTTTTTACATAAGTACCTAAGTGTTTTCTTTATGCCAGTCACTACTTAAGCAATTTTCATATATTAACGCAATTGATCCTTATGACTCTGTAAGATAGACACTATTCTTTTCTCATTTTACAAACGAGGAAACTGAGGCAAAGATGTTAAGTGACTTATTCAGTCATACAATAAGTGATAGTTTTCTTCCAGAATCCATGCTCTTAATCACTGTTATACTTCTTTCCAGCAACTAAACTGACAGCAGACTTCTCAAAAGCAATAACAGGGCTACTGTAAATTAGAACTGGTATAACCTCTGCACCCAACCACTGTCAACTTAGAATTCTATAGTCAGCTAAGTTATCATTCAAGAGTAGAGGCAAAATGAAGATTTTTTTAAAAAATTAAAAGTTTGCTACTCACTGACATTCAATGAAATAACTATTAAAAGCTGTACTTCAGAAAAAAGGAAAATTAATCTAAATAAAAGGGATGAAATGCAAGAAGCAAGAGTAATCAAAAATAAATAAATTTTGTTAGATAAACATGTCCATTGGTGGGAGGGGCAGTTTAAAAACAGGATAAAACTAAGATGAAAGATGGAAGCCTAAGTTAAAATGTCCCAAGTTTTAGATTTGAAAAGAAAGATAGAGATACTGGTCAGAATTCTTAAAAACAAGTGCATATGTTAAAAATTATAAAAATCATTTAGACTCAGTTCTATACTTAGCCAAACTATCAATCAATCGGGACGGTAAAAATAAAGACATATTCTTATGTGCAAAATCTCAAAAAATTATCTCCCAGTAAAAACTCATGGTTTTAAAAAATACAGAATGACAGATAAGAAATAAACATGGGTATGTCTGTCTTCATGGGTTATCATACAGACATATATTTCCTAGCTCTATCTGCTGAGAGCGCCTAGAAGTAGTGACAACCCAGCAGCAACATGCACACCTAGCATTCAGATTTGACTTCTAAATACCATTCTCCAATAAGAACCAAGATTTCCTTGAAGAAATGGTT